CGCCCGAGACAGTCGCGCTTGGACATTGTGGGTTGTGGCAAACTGGACACTGCGATTCGAAAGACTACGGGTACTGTAGTACTTCACAAAGTATAAACACACGCCAAAGTATCACTTTCAGGCGAAATGGCGTCATCGTCTTGACGCATTTCAAAAATAACCAATGCCGCCATTGGCCTATTCTCAGAAAGATCGCTGCTCAAGTTAGAATTCGCGATTGGCTCCGGTGCCATGGTTTGCTCCGATATGGAAAATTCTTTCGCCGAAGCCCGAAAACGCAGGTGCTGCCAACACCTCGCGGACCTATCCGATGAGACCAGGGAGATAGCTTCTTTAGTTAGTTGACAGTTTTGAAAAAATCGTGCATTTCGATTCGTGACACTTATTTTCCAGGGGCAAATCCTTGGCGCTTGGAGCTGCGAGAAAAGTTCCTATTCGATTTTCATATATTTTCCCGTGACGATACGTTTGCATCACGAGCGAAGATGCGCTAGCTTTTTCTTGTATCCGTCAGTCTAAAGTCGCTATCCTGCATGGCGACAGAAGGCCCAAAATTCGGAGCTCAGATCCATTCCCGGATTTTCCATGACTACTGCATGTCAACCACCTCCCAAATGCCTCATACTTCCAGGAAATAGCAAATTTGGTGTAGGTTAATCTCCTGCACCCCCGATCACGATACAAAGTCGAATCAAACCAAGAATCAATCATATCGCTCGCGCTAAATGCTATGCCAAAGCGACGACGTCTGCGGCGGTGACATGAAGACACCGGGCCGGACTTGCCAAAGCTCATGCCACTGCGCAAGGCTGAGCATGTCGTAGGTGAAGCGGCCCGTCTCGACATGCAATGCGACGTTGCGGCAGGCACTCAGTGCACTCAGAAGCAGCGTCAAGGAAGCGAGGCCAAGTCTGTTCAAAGTCAAATTGATCGTCAGCGGCCGTCGGTTCTTGCCCGAGGCCAGCGCGACAGCAAACAGCACAACGTCGTCATCACAGAAACCCGTGCCCGAGAGCACCAGTGTCTGTAGCCCGCGCGCCATCCACGCCGGCAGCGCCCGCGCCAGCTCGACAAATCCAGCCTCCTCGAGCTCGGTATGGCTCAAGTCGACAACCCGCAGGCAGCGCGACGTCGAGAGCTGCAGGATCACCAGGACGATGTCACTGGCCGTCTTGAACACCGTCCGACGCAGGATGGCAGACGTCAGCTGTGGCCAGACGCCCACCGTCGTGACAGCCGAAATGCGTGCGTTGACCAGGCGAACGGACGCGAGAGCCGGGTAGACTGCGAGCGTGTTGAGGACATTCGCGATGGTCAGCTCGTCGTCGCTGTCACAGTCACTGTCATCGCTGTCACGATCGCCTTGTTTGGCAAGCTCGAGGGAGAACGAGAGGACATTGGTTGAATCCAGTTTTTGGAGCAGGCGTAGGGCAGGCCTGCCGTCGCCATACCTGTCGTGCACGGCGAGCGACGTCATGTGATGCAAGTCGTGCGGCAAGGCGACCAACGCGCGTTGAACATCGGTCGCGTCCACAAAGCGCAAGGACGTCAGCGTAATTGACGCTTGGATCGCGCGCGCCAGCGCCGTCGGGTCACGCACTGCGTCGCATGCGAGCGTCAAGGACGTCGCCGTTGGCCCCTGCAGCCAGGCGACGATGGCCGACACCTCTTCCAGCTCCTCGCCGAAGACTAGCACCTCGAGCGTACGCAACCGTGTGGTCGGAATCGCGGCCAAGTACGTAGCCGTCCTTTCTGGCTCGGCCCGGTTCTTGATGGTCACCGATTCGACGTTGACGCAGCGTGCGAGGACGTCGGGGATCGGGTCGAGCTGGACGTGGCGGCCCTTGACAATGACGTCGACGACGTGGCTGCCCCAGGCGTGCGCAAAAGCACAAACGGCGCCGGGAACCTTGGGGTCGACGTAGAGTGACACAGGCATGTGGGGCGGCAGCGTCGCGTCCAGCCAGGCGAGCGCCGCAAAACCCGGATCGACGTAGATGCCCTTGAACGCTGGCAGCGCGGCGATGGCCAAGCGAGCATGCTGGACCGGGATCTTCGTCACATGCACGAGCGGCCAGTGGTCGGCGAGGGCGACCGCGGCGCCGAGGTCGCGGAGCGCGAGGAGCTCGGGTGGCAGCGTTGACGGCCGCAGCGCGTGGAGCAGAGCGAGGACATCCCATGACTGCTCCAGCATGCGGAGGATGTTGTGGAGGGCGGCGCCGGGCAGGCTCGGCGAGCTCGTCGCGGGCTTGCGGATGCGCTTGGTTGCACTTTGCAGTTCCATCTATGGGGTCTCGTGGCACGACCTCTAAGATCGGATACCGCCCAGTCGCCTCACCCTTGCAAATATGATCCGAATGCTAACCGGATGTTTTTGCGTCAATGACGTGGCGCGAGCAGATGCAAGAACCGGACTGCCAACGTCCAACGTCATTGAACATACCATCAATCTCGATCGATGTAGAGATTAGCGATTTCCTTCTTCTTCCTTTTGAGACTGGGGTTGCAAGCATTTCGAAAGTACTACGTGTACGGTTGCTCGTAAGGTGTCCACAGCATACCACAACGTATGCACATGCCTCGTCCCATCCACCCGCACAAGCCAAACTCAGTTTGTCACGACATCACATTACACAGTACAAAGCGCTAGTCGTATCCTAGCATCGGGACACCTTCGCCTTGTCGTCCATCACCCTTACTTGTGGAAGAAGGTAAACTTGGCGATCAGAAGCAGCGCGAGGCCCACGGGCACAAAGATGCCGAGGAGGTACGTGCTCGAGGGCGCCACTTCGCAGCCGTCGCCGCCCGCGAGCAAGAGGCAGTTGGTGCTCTCGTACATGGAGCTGAGACTGCCCGTGACGGCCACGCAGAGCGTCGTGAAGAACGAGAAAAAGATGAACGCGGCGACCCGCGGCTGGCTGCCGCCGTTCTTCTTGAGCTCGGCGACCGCCGCCTTCTGGCTCGGCAGCAAGACCACTGCCAAACACCCGGTCGCGATGGACGCGTATTGAATGTAGTACGAGTACGCGACCGCGTCGCGCGTGACCTGCGCGTCTTCCTTGATGAGCGCCTTGCTGAACGCGAGCTGCGCGCAAATGACGTTGGAGACGAGCGTGCCAAAGGTGTTGGGGAGGTTCGAGAT